TCAAGGATCCAAAAAGAATGGAGACAATGATCTAAAACGAATCGCTAATGACATATTCAACCAAGGAGGATGTGTTTCTGGACATGTGCTAGAATCATGAATACAATCATTCAATAACGTTGTTGTTTAAATGATCGTATTTTGAAGGAGGTCTACGCTCTTGCTCCACACGTGATTATATAAACTATTATTATTATTGAGATGTTTCTGAGACAGATCGAGACGTGAATAATTGCCCTAATAATTGTTGAAAAAGGTTTCTATCATCACCAARCTCACCGTTTGTCTTGCTTCAATGCAAAGGCATGGCTACCTTCCAAGGTAATGAAGGGAACTGTAAAAGGGACTGTTGAGCTACAAGGAATATTGAAGGATTATAATAATGTGTGCTGACTATTGCAGAACATAAATGATGTCATTTGTCCTTTACTTTCATTCAGAATAATATAACCAATTCAAGAAGTATGGAAAAAGTCCCTAGTGATAATATTTGAAGTATTTATGAACAGAAGAAACAAAAAGGAAAAGTTTTTTGAGGATATGTGAAACATTTGTATAAAATTTGTACATAAATGTACTATAATTACAACATGGCAATGAATCAATCAACAGTCATTAACGGAAATGAATAAATTGCATTCAATTTTTGTGGTCTTTTTATTTGTCGTCATACTCTATTTGTATGTACATAAATTAACAACTACATGTAAAGCTACAGTACTAATTAAACCAATTATTCATTAAAAGTTTTATCATATGACCCGTACATGCTCTAATAGGACCTTTGRAAAAGTCTTGATTGGGGCCAGACGGTATATGTGCACTGTATTTATCAATTTTAACAGTATCCTTTAGCCTATTACAACAACAATTGCTGGACTCGGTCCTTACGGCATGACCTCGAGCCAAATATTTTCCCCTCCCACCCCACCTAGYTCAGTCAATAAGTACATATTTTGGCACTGTCATATTGCCCAATAAACTATGACATGACAGTATATTTACATTGGGGGACAATTGATAAAAACAATGGAAATTTCCACTAAATCTTCTTTCTCTTAGAAAGACGTTTGGTTTCAAATTGTCTAGTTTCCAATGTTGTGTCAATAGTTAGTTTAACCGTTGATATTCATGATGTGTTGTTGTCATTCCTCCCTTTTCCATATCTTTTTGTAACTGCAACTTTATCGTGTTGTTTTCTTTGTGTTATTGTCATTGTCCCCCTCTAGCAACCATAATTCTTAGCGTTAGAACAATAGGTCTTTTTCAGGACTCTACTGTAAAGCCCCGTTTGCACTAGCGATTTTTGCGGCGATTTTCTTGGGTTTTCAAACAGAAACTATTTGGGTTATGCTCATAAGGATATATTAAGTATTAAGTATGTTTCTTTTATTTTCAAGGATCCAAAAAGAATGGAGACAATGATCTWAAACGAATCGCTAATGACATATTCAACCAAGGAGGATGTGTTTCTGGACATGTGCTAGAATTATGAATACAATAATTCAATGACGTTGTTTAAATGAAAAAGTTCGTATTTTGACGAGCTCTACGCTCTTGTTCCACACGTGATTAAAAAAACTATTATTATTATTGAGATGCTTCTGATGGTCAATAGTCTTCTTCAGTTCCCTCTGCCGCCAACTCGAAAGGCAGCTTTTTTTGCGACTTTGTCCATAATAAATAATGGTAAAGAATTTACTTGTAAAGTTTTTTTTCTCCAGGATACCAAGATTTTCCTACACGAATGTCTCTTTTGAAGGATGAGACAAAATATTTCATATTCCCGACAATTGCCACAAAAATCGCAGCAAAAATCGCCAGTGTAAACGGGGCTTTACGACGGCGCTCAAGACTACGATCTTTGATTCAGACTGAGTTTTAACGCTTCTTACGATTGCGATCATGATTACGATTAAGACGCTAGTGTGAACAAGGCTTTAAACTAAACTTGGCAATTCTTATTTATACAAACCTGTTTGTTTGATTGGAGCCTAAATTATGCTGCAAATCATTTTATAACATGCCTTATTACAATTATGTTTTTGCCTGTAATGTGTTATCATTTCTGTAATTAATATTTAAGCCCTGAAGTGTTGGAAATAGATTCCCGTTTTTTTCTATTACTTCAACACACATTCAAACTTTTGATGATTTTTTCAATATGTTTTTGTGATTTTTGTGATTTTCTTTTGTGATATGAAAAACAAACCATGGAAAAAAATTAATACAACATATGACAAGGAGTCATAACTTTCATTCAAACTAAGGCATTAATTAAGTGCTCCTGTATACTGTTTCTATCACCTCCCTGCTTCTATGGTGAACTCCATTTAGATTCTGTTAGTAAGTTGTGCTCAATAAATTGTGAAAATGATAAAGACCAAGAAGAATAAAGGTATTGAAATCATTGATTCTGGCTTTTCGTAAAGCTAGTTGTACTACTACATGTGCTAGGCCCCATACCATATGAACACTTCTGCATGTTTTGATTTGTTTTTGACAACGTATTGTCTTCTTGAAAAGAAACATCAAGGTGACACACCAATACATAATAGCAGTAAAGAGCACAATCAACAAAACTTGTTAAAAAGTTGTCAAAAAGAAATAAAAAACTTGTAGAAGTGTTCACAAGGTGTGGTGCGTAGCACATGTAGTTTGCTATCCCTGTGAGATAACACCTTCTGTAGACTCCATGTCTTTCAGCACTTGGTGGGCTTGTAGTTCTCGTAATCTGCATTGAGGGGAAAAAAGCATTACTATTTATTACTTTGCAAAACAGTCCAATTTCAATATAGAATGTTTTGTCTTTAGTTAGAAAGTGAGGACAAAATAAATCAGTGGAAATGCCTTCAGAAGCATCTTGGGTGCGCAATGCATCTTGGGATATCTTGGGGAAGTAGGAATACATCATCTAATTGTGTAAAGATTTCACAATGCATATTACAATAAGATGTTACAGAAGTATGCAGTGTATCTTGGGATACCTTGGAAAGTGAAAGACTACATAATCAATTTGAGTAAAGATCCCACTATGCATGTTAATATGATGAGACAAAAGTATACAATGCATCTTGGGAAACTTGGGGGACAAAAGACTACATTGTGCATTCCATTGAAGATCCCAGAATCCATGTTATGACAAGGTGTTACAACCAATGATGAGGCTTTAAGGAACTTGTACTTTTCCCAGTACATGAACTAGTTCACCTGATATACTTACTTCTTAACAGTGTCTAACCCACTCTCGTCAAGCAGTTTGAAAAAATCAGCAAATGAAGATTTCAACCTTCAATAATACAAGTAGATTAACATCATCTATGTAGTTTAGGAACCATGTAATGGAAAACGAGCGAGGAGCCATTTTTTATTCAAAAATGGAGGGGGGGGGGGTCGGAATTCTTGTATTGGTTACCAATCAAATCCCACTTCCCCCCCTGTCCTCCATGTAAACTGAACGATCCCATAAATATTTCACAGTTTTCCTGCCCCAATTACAAGACTTACTATGCTATCATTATATTATTTGAAGTGAAAACATGATACTGTTGAGTTTAGGCATTGTAACCAGACACGATTTGACAGTTTAACTGTCATCAACAGTGATAGGTTTTTATATCATTATTATTATCATTTTATTAATATTAATACTAATTAATAATTGACTCATCCAGAATATACACTCACTTCTTCAACTGGTCAGTGTTTTCCTTGGCTGATTTTCGAGATTTTTCTGTTGTCTCACATAGACTCTTTATCCTGCAAAAAATTAAGAAGAAAAAAATAATTAAAAGGAATAAAGTTACACAAAGAAGGAAAGCTTTATATTCAGTGGAATATATAAGTTCCATATGTATTGCTTCGTGTCAATCTTAGCTTTGTATTCTCATTACAATGCACAGTGCCTTACTGATCATCCATCTCCAAAAAATATTGTTCTGTTAGAGTTTCTTGTTCAGTGATGCCATTTGAAGATAGGAGTGAAGGTACATCAGTACCAATAGATAACAAAGATGAACTGGCCCTAGTCTGCATAATCCTCTTGTAGATACGCTGGTACATCTCAAGACATTCCTTTTGTGTCTAAAAATAAAACAAATGTTTTAAACTCAGATCTGGCATAACAAAAGAGATATGACAGGGACAAAAGGATGGGAGAAAGGAAAAGTGGAAAAAGAAAAAAAGAAAGGCTGTGAAGCGCTAATAGGAATGGAAGTGTAGGGAAGACAGCAGAATTAAATGAGCTTTTTGAACCACATTTCACAACCCTTCCCAAATCTTCCAATCCTGCTGCTATAGTAAGACATTTAGTTGCCAACTCTTTCTAAGATGTCATCCAACATGGTGGTCATATCTTTCATTGTCATGGCAACTGCTCGCAGCAACAGTATGTGTAGTTCTATCTTCTTACGCTTTCAAGTGAATATAAATGGACTTTGTCAGCTTCTTTAGCTTCCTCAAGATATTGTTGTTGTCTCTTTGCCTCATCCTGTTTGAAATGCACTTGCCTGCGGGAGGTAGACATGTATCATATCAAAGATTGTGCTAAGGACCTCTTGCAGCAATTCTCAACAGCAAATGATGGTGGTGATAATGATTGATAAATGATGATGATGAAGATGGTGGTGATGGTTATGGTGTTGGTGCTATCCATGGTATTAATGATGGTGTTGCTGTTGAAGGTGATGATGAATGATGATGTTAGTGGCGATGATGATGATGTTGGTGGTGATTGTAATGGTGTTGATGATGTTGATGTTGATGGTGGTGGTGATGGTGATAGCGGTGGTGATGGTGGTGGTGTTGATGATATTGATGGTGATGATGTTGGTGGTGATTGTAAAGGTGTTGATGATGTTGATGGTGATGGTAGTGGTGTTGATGATGTTGATGTTGGTGGTGATAGCGGTGGTGATGGTGGTGTTGTTGATGATGTTGATGATGTTGATGGTGATGATGATGTTGGTGGTGATTGCAAAGGTGTTGATGATGTTGATGGTGATGGTGATGGTGGTGGTGATGGTGTTGATGATGTTGATGGTGATGGTGGTGGTGATGGTGATAGCGGTGGTGATGGTGGTGGTGTTGATGATGTTGATGGTGATGGTGATGGTGGTGATGGTGTTGATGATGTTGATGTTGATGGTGGTGGTGATGGTGGTGGTGGTGGTGGTGATAGTGGTGATGGTGGTGGTGGTGTTGATGATGTTGATTGTGGTGGTGGTGGTGTTGATGCTGTTGATGGTGATGGTGGTGGTGGTGCTGATGGTGATGGTGATGCTGATGTTCTTTCAGTGATGGCGATGAAGATGGCATCGTCATTGATGGTGACAGTGATGGTGTTGCTAATGTTGGTGATGATGATAATCATGTTGTTGTTGAAAATGATGATAATGATTTTGGTGGTAAGAAAGATGTTGTTGCTGTTGAAGGTGATGATGGTAATGAATGATGATGTTAGTGGTGAAAGTGATGATGTTGTTGATGATGAATGATAGTGGTGGCGTTACTTGTGATGAAGATGACATTGTTATTGATGATGGTGTTGTTGTTGTTTTCATGCAGGCGATGATAATGATAGTGATGTTGTTGGTGATAATGATGGTGTTGTTGAGGCAAGTGTGACAATAATGCAAGGACATTTCGTACAGTGCCACTGACAGCATGAATAATACATAAAATACTTTAATGTCACACTCGTAATATGTGATCTTACGTGAGCAAGTTCTGCAGTTCACCATGGAATTGTACTTGAAGTTGAAAGCAATCTTTAGTGACTTGCTTGACCCGCTCTATCAAGCCCGATAGTGCCTTTCTGTAACAAAACATTTAAAATACATAATCTTGAAGTTAAGCTCTTAGGAGAAGTTTACTAGAATAATCAGGATTCTATGTAACAAAGCGACAGGAATGTCTGCAGAGCCGACCGCTAAAAGAGGAGCTTATAGAGCAGTAGTTTTCGTATGACTGTGATTGAGGGATTTTTTTCGAGTGCAATGTGGTTGGTCTGTGTTCGCGCTGTGCTCATGCCATGTTTTGGGCCTTTGCTCTAGTGCAGTCCTATACTAATGACAAGCGTTGCGAGGACGTATAGGTAAATATTACCGAAGGTGTTTCTATGACAGCGCATTTCTTCTTCACACTGACAAAGACGATGGAATCAGCGCCTCCTTATTGTCATGGAAACCGTTTCACTAACGTGTATCAAATCAACTATATCACAACGATAGATGTATCACCTACTTGTCATATTGATGATTATGCTCTTCCGCGGCAGATAATCCTGCAATAAGAAATGAAACAACAAACATTCAACCTCAAACTAACAAGGTAGTTGTTGATGCAGTTAAACGAAGGAAGATCAAGCCTTACGTCTTTGGTGTTTATCTTTACGAAATCTCATGTAGATGTTTTCAATTTTGCTTGTAAGATTGGATACCACTGCATAACTAAAAGGCAAAAGAATCTGCGTTAGCTAAGAAGATTAAGAGCGATTTTTGCGATCCAGGTAATTCCRAGGAACGACAAATACTAAACTTGTGGTTCTAGTTTCGTTATTCAAATTTATGGATTTTTGGTCGAAGGAAGCCAAAATCTCCGACATGTCTTTTGGAAGTTTTTTAGTGTTAACAGCAACATGGAAACAAGTTTAATTAGTGACAAGAATCAAAAAATATTTATGGTATCTCTTACCAGGTTATATTGGACGTTTTCTCTCTGAAGTCAAAATACAAAGGGGACAGACATTCCTTGTCAACCATCTCAGTTATTATTGATCTTAACTTTTCCAGATACTGGTTGACTTTGGTAAGCTGTGAATTAAGACATGGTAAAAGATTAGCTTGTCTTGGGAGAGAAGACAAATCTAAAAACAAACAGGCTCCTTCATTTGGGTCTGCAACGTTCCTGATAAAGAGAGAAATAATATTCAAGGGAATGACACATGGATTGAAGAAGGGAAAACGATTCGTCCAAGATATGAAGCGTTAACGATAGAAAGAAATAATACTCAATGGAATGACACATGGGTTGAAGTGGGAAAACGATTGCGATACCGATAAAGAAAGAAATAATACTCAAGGGAATGACACATGAATTGAAGTGGGGGAAAACTATCCGCCCAAATAGCGTTACTGATAAAGAAGGAAACAATACTCAAGGGAATGACAGATGAGTTGAAATGGGAAACGAATAGACATTCGCTTCTATTCGCTTACTTCTTCATCGCTTGTTGTTTTGGCTTGGATCCAAGTCCTGATCATATTGATTTCTTTTTCAGTGTCAGCTCTCTCTTCTAAAGTTAAGAAATATTATTTCAAGTTACTTTATGTTAGTAAATATACGGTCGTGCGAAAGAGGAAAAAGATCAGTCGTAAAGAAAAACTATCAAAAAAGACGTTCAACATGTGTGTTTGGAAAGAAGTTTTGCTAAACATGTACTTACCCTCTGGTAGTTGAAAGTGTGAAGAAAGCTCTTCTATCATTCTGACTAGAGCCTCGTTGCTGAAAGACAATCGCAAGGTTTAGAGCCAAGCTAGACTACAACAAGACTCAGAGAGGAATGACAATCACTGACAATTGTTATTACTTGCAGATTATGGCATCCTTTTACAAAACTACCAGAATGCATTTAAAACGTTTTTTCTCTTTTAATGCCAGTTAAAAATACTGTGAATATTGGAACTCATTAACCCCAAAAAGTTTGCAAGAGATTGTGGTAGCGGTGGTACAACATGACGCTAATGCATAAGACCTTTGTTACCGGTGTACGTGAATCGACTTTTTAGCAAAAATAAATGAAATAAAAACTGATTCGTCAGAAAAAGCAAAATGAATAAATAAATAAATAAATAAATAAATAAATAAATAAATAAATTAAAAAAATCTCCAAATAG